CGCAGAGAGGTCCTTCTAACAAAATTTAATACTTATTGTGCTTCGCCTGGCGTTCGCCGCTTTGTTGCCTGCCCGCTGCCTTCTGCCTTCCTGCATAAAGAAAGGCAAACAGAATTTATGTTGTGACATTTTAAATTGCGCAATTTTTATGAAATCCTTTTGCTGCGCCTCCCCAGCAGCACATCCTTGCGAAATACTCCTCGACTGCAACAGAAATTCTCCACCAATTCGATGCGAATTTTTGTGTGCAACGCTCAAAAAAAAACGAAAAAAAAAGGAAAAAATACTACGTTTCGAAGTGGAGTCCTTGTCCAAGTGCGAGGTCCTGCGCGAAGCCGCTGTCAGCCTGGCGTTTTATTTATTTTTATGTTTAGACTCGACTCTCGACCAACGTCCGAGAAAACCGAAAATGTCCGAGCCATCGCCCAGCGAGACGACCAGAGAAAGCAGAAAGCCCCACCATGATTTACGATGATGATGTGTCCTGGAACGCGAGCGCATCTCCACCGAAGGACTCGGCACTACACAACAAAACCCAACGGGAGGAGCTGCAAGATGTCCTGGCCCCGAGGGCCACCCCATATCCCCATCCCCGGCTGCGGCAGCTTTACATATTTGGGCACAAGGAATTCCGATTCCGCCAGCTGAACCGCTGGAATGCACTCGCTCTTTTGGATTTTGAATTGGACTCTCTGGAGTTTACCAACTTGGATCTAACTTCTGCACCGGGAAGGTAGTCTATCGAAAATTATTTACCGGAAACAGCTTTTTAGCTCTTATAGAACATAATAATATTGAACAGTATTTGATAAATATTATTATAAATAATGGTATTTGGGAAAAACTTTATTTATTTTTAAGATTGAAAGTGCACACTGAAATTCAATAAATATTATCATAAATTGTAGTATCATAATAATATGAAATGGTATTGTAATATTTCCCTAGTTCTGTTTTTAATGATGTGTTAAAGATCATACTGAAATAAGTATTTTATAAATTAAAAATTGTTCTTATATTGAATTAACCTTGCTATAGTAAAGCACCTTGGATTTCGAATTAGACCTCAAAAGAACTGTTTTAAGAATTTCATTTAAATGAATATGTAGTGCAATGGTATTCGACTCTCAACATGAAGATGAGTTTTTCCTTACAATTATACATTTATAAAACGAAAAACAGTTAAAATATAAATAATCACATTGGCTTTAAAAAATTGTTAAATCGAATTGAAAAAGTCTGACGAATGACTTCCTCAACAATCAATAGAATCGCATTACTGAGCTACAAACTGTTCGTATTATTTTGCATGGTAATTGATTCAACTCCCCTTCGACTAAATAAAATTGCAAATATATTCGAGCGCTTAAAATGGGTGGACTCCTATAATTGTGATTACTTTTTGCTGTGACATTTTTTGGCAAATGCAGTTTTGCTCCTGTTGTGGTTTCCCTTGTTTTTGCACTTGCCGCTGCTGTTAATAAAAATTTACGATTATTGTTTTCACATTTTTCATGTTTGTCAATATTAAAAACATTATTTTTCACACGAATTGGCGTCAATGGATGGATATGGATGCGACGCACATATCGAGATCTGCCCGTCCGACAGACGAAGGATGTGTCTCCGAAATTTTATTGAAATTCGCTGATGGAATCCAGCCCCCCAAAAAAAATGAGAGGAAAAATACGAGAAAAACACTCGAATTGCAGTGGAAAATCGCATTCAATCGGTCGACAGCAGCATACACCACTCATAACTCAGCTCGGTGCGGCGCCAGGGACACCAACATGGACACAAATCCATTGGACGATGGGCATCGACGATGGCATTCCCATTGTTGTGGCGCTGGAGGATTCGATTCGGGACAATTGTCAGGCAATAAATCGATGTGTGTAGGGCTGTAAATTTTTGGCGGATGGCCGATGAAAAAGTGCATATTATGCAATTCGACAATACGCCAAACATGTCGACCTACGCATGAAAGCCACCCCCTTTTGGAAGAGCCACCAGTACGAGTACAGTACCCCCACCCACTCAACCCCTTTGGCAATGCAGCGGAAACGGAAACGCGCACACAAGTTCTTCTCTTCTCTCTTCTTCATCTTCGGCCTGCAACAGCGCTTTGCATATCAATGAAAATGCATAAATTTTTATTCGTCCTCAATTTTCGACAGCGTTTTTTCCTTCTGCACGATGCCTATTTGGTTGCACTCGCTGCATCCTTGCCCATTGCCCAATCCTGTCGTCCATCAAGGGGCATAAATCAGTTTGTAGGTAGCGGCCAAGAGAAGCGACACCAAAAAAATACCAAAAAGATTTACCAACACGCATAGCGCAGCTCCGGAAGCTTCGGAAAAAATTGGAGCCCCCCCACCCCATTCCCGGCAGATCAGTTCTTCGGGGCAGAACCAGTGACGAAACGTAATCCTTGTCGAAAAACTGCACCAAAGCAAAAACACTGAAAATCCATAAAAATGCATCATAATTTCCTGGACACTCGTGCAACTGGAACTGGATCACCATCGGCAGCATCATCATCATCATTGTGTGTAGCATCCAAATGGGGGGCAAAGCTATAGTCAGAGGCGGATAAAGGGGTAGTGGTCACCCGAACAAGCCGCTAAGCGGGTTCTGAAAAAATATCCAGTAGGGTTACTCAGCTCAGAAGATTAGAAATTTATGGAAAAGGAAAAGATTTTTTTCAATAACATAAAACTATATACATTTAAACAAATTTAAGCTAGTTATCGAAGAATATCTTTGAATTTAAATGACCATCCATACTTCCAATTCTAAATTTGTTAAACTTACTTACATATATAATTGAAAAGCTCCTTTTCATATATAATAAAGATAAATATTTTTTAATGTTTCGTGGTTTTTATAAGTAATATCCGTATCAGTATCATATAAATATGATATTTTAGCAGGTTAAAATATATTATTTTAATATATATTTGGTTTCATTGTAATTCTTCTAAAAATATATATATAAAAATAATGAATATTTATTATTGTTTGAATACTATGTTTATAAGACTCGTTCACACCTTTACTTAATGAAATGATAAAGAAAGTTAAAATTACAATAGTAAAGTAGCTCATCGAAATTATAAATTTCGAAACAAAATTTGTAATATTATATTTTTAATTTGCAAAGTGTTATATTCTCGAACAATAAAAACCCTGACTGACCCTCCTGGGCATCATTTACATGCAACAAGCCCCACACTGGCTGCTTTATAAGCCCTGTCGCTGGCTGCACAGAATGGGCCCATCAAAATCAACGGCGTGGCCAATTGGGAAGAGGGAGTGCAGCCTGCCTACCGCAATGCGTTAATAGATTTGCAGTGCCTCCGTACCTGGACCGGTCCCCAGACCATCCAATCGGATTGCATATAATCACAGGATACTCGGTCATTTCGGCGGTGGCCCTTTGTTGTTCTTTTACTTGGCCAAAAAGCGGCCGTAAATTTTACTTCATTCATGCAGACACTCCTCCTAACTCCCACAAAGGAAACATGGAACGGACAGCGAGCCTTTGCACAATTTTGAGTGCATTCGATGCGATACGTTGGCGGCCTGTCCACATGTCATCCTTGCATTTATTTATTGAATTATGACTCTTAAGCCTGCCAAAAAGGTAAAAACCGAGAGGAAAATCAAGGATTGCAGATGAAATACGGCGAAAAATGATGGAGCATTTTCGAGATCGGGTTACCTTTATTGAAATGGAAAAGTAATATAAGTGTTTACTTAGTTGGAATCTTAATAAAACAATGCACTATATATATGTTTACTGTAGAACCTATAAGTAATGATACAATTTAGAATTCAAATAGGTTACATAAAATACTTTTTATTATTGATAATGGCCTTACAAGAAATGAGTTTCTATAATTTATTTATATTTTGGCATTAAGTTTTCCTTGTTTTTGAAAATAGCTCCTTAATCGGAAATGTCATATCATACCATATCATTTCCCCAATCCTAAGAATCTAACCACATTCTTCCCCTGAGCGGATCTCTATTTGGTCCACGCGTTGTTTGTCTTTCGCGTGCAGCAAAATCAACACGGCGAGCAGATGAAAGAACAGCAGCTGGATTCTTGAGATTTTACACAATTAGCAAATATTTGAGGTTGGCAAACGTCGGCGGTGTCTTTTTAATTGTTTCTAATTTCTAGTGTTGACACGGCGGTGTTGGAAGTGCTCGCACCCAAGACATCTGTCCTAGGAAGCCTTTTCTAGATTGCCGACATCCAGCGCTATCATCTGTTGACTCACACCCACATGTGGAGGATGCGCCCTAGTTAACCGAAATCATTTATAGTGTTGACTTTGGGTGCCATTAACGTTTCATATTCCTGAGCGGAGATCAACATTTTAATTAAGCGAAATTATGCGACCTGAGATTTGGATCTTTGAAGAAGCCGCCGGTTAAGAATCTACAAATTTCTGGTGTAAACTGATTTGACTCCGAATTTGTTTTCAGAATTTCAGTGGGTGAGGCTTAGTTTGTTTTAGGATTTCGTTATAATTAACCGTTGATACTTATAAACGCTGGCTATTGTTCTATTGTTTGAGAATTAAATTGTGATACACTTTTTATAAGGTGTCTTAAGATATCTCTTTTATCTTCCGAACGGCAGAAAGTGTTTACTATTCTGAAGTGATGATTCTTGTTAAAAACATATTTCTTTTACAATTTAAATATCGAGTACCATTTTTCAAGAATTTTTACACTTTTACCTTTTTGAAAACTCATGTTGTTAATAGAACTTCAAATAAATAATTGTTATGCCTACAATATCAAAAAAATATTCATTTTTTTGTAAACTTCGAACGGTTTTGCGCCAATTCACACAGTTCGTCTCAACTCGATGGACAGATAAGATCTTAAAATCTATCTAACGCTTAGGCTCTGTTGTCCAATGTCAGAATCATCAGTGTCAGTTCGGTCGTCAAAGCGGTAGCTGTAAATATAAAATTAAACAATGGATCACTCCCGCGTTTTGAGGATCACAAATGTTGTGCTTTTACTCACGGCTTATCAGATGCATTGGTTTGAGAAGAAATCGCAGAGGTTCCGATTGTCACTGCCCGGAGTGGTCAATATTTTAGTGATCGGTGTCATCTATGCCGGATGCTTTTCCCAACATTTTAATTCCACGTCGTCTCTTCTAAAAGTTCTGAATGATGTGTCACCGTTCCTATTCGTATTGACCAGGACGCAACTTTTCTTGGGAGCCAAAGTATTTGCGTATTCCGTCTATTCTTCGGTGAAATCTGTGGGTGCTGTTAATTCCCTGGTAGAATCACTACCAACCAGAAACTCTGGATTAAAGAAAGATGAGGTCATAGCCTACGCCCTACTGGGTTCCACCTTTGGAACTCTCTTCTGTTTTGTACTCTACATATCGTATGAAATGAAATTCGAGCTGCCTCCGTTGCAGGATGCCATGATCGGATTGGCTCTATTTCTTCCTCATCTGATTTTATCAGGATCACTGAGATTATACATAATATTGGCCTGGTTAACTCGTGGACAATTGAAGCAATTTAAAAACATTGCAGAGGTGGAGTTAAGTGATAATTTGATAAAAGACGAAGCGAATGTTGCTTCCACTTCTTTTACTATTTCTACGAAAAGTTCCAGCGTGGAAAATTTAGAAAATCTGAAGAGAAAGCTGGAGGTTCTGGGAGCCAATTTCAGATTCTTTTTCCAGTCCATTCAGCACTCTTTGATTTTTCTTTTTGCCATGAATGCAAACTGTTTACTAGGAGGGATATATTCGTATACATACTACTGGAATACTTGGCACGTAATCTTCGAGGATCGCAAACGAAGAATCTTCTATGCGGCAAATGCATCCATATATGCCTGTATTGCTAGTGATTACATCTGCCTAATGGTGGTTCTGTTTATGATGGAGAAAGAGGTGAAGTTCAATTTAATATTACTGTACAATTTTATGTTCATTTTTCTATACCTATTTTTCAGAGGATGAACTTTATTAAATGTCTAGATTTCTTTTTGACCAAGAGGAATTCTCTATCGAAGAGAATGCGATCCCTTGCCAAAGATATAAAGAAAGTTCTTAAAATAAACTTCTTTACCAAATTTCACTCGTTCATTCGATTCAATATTAGTCATGTCAGTTTGGTAAGTTTTTATCTTTGAAAAAGTATACATTTTTTGAAGGATATATTTCAGATGGTTTTCCTCCAATTGCTTATAATTACGTTGATTGTGATGTTCCACTATTTGAATGACGAAATTCTGTTGCTGAAAGAAGAGTTGAACAGCAAAGACGATAATTAACTTTAGATAATATTTACTTTTTGTATTCTATACATTTTGCAACCAATGATGTGCTCTATATACTAACTGTGTTTTCTACGTCCTCCCACTCCGGTAACAACTTCATATTAATTACCATCATATGCAAACTTAATCCATAAATTTATCCGTTTGCCAGAGCCAAACAGGACGGAGCAAGAAATCACGATTAAGTTGCTAATAAAATGGTTCCCCAATCAAAGTAAAATGTGTGCATTTTGGCTAGAGATGAACAAGCTCCTGGAAAACACCGATTTCTAAATAAGTTACAGACCAATTAAAAAATAATTTAAAATAGAGGGAGTTCTGAACAAAATAAGTTTAAATTTGTTTTTAAATTGATTATAAATATAATTGTTGATCTTAATAAATGTACAGTTAAATATAATTATAAATAAATTATTTTCAAAATTATATTCACTGGTTGGATTTTATTAAACTTTCAAGCAGAACTAATAGTTTTTTAACATTCATAAAATTTAAAAAGGTTCAATATTTTTTATTGATTATTATTGACTAATTTCCAATATTAGAATGAAAAACAAAAATAAATAAGTGATAATTAACAGTTCATTTAACATGTTTTATAAATCAATATTTTTTTAGTTCTTGTAATATTACTCATCTCCAATATTGCCAGGCTGCCAGACTTTGAGACTCATTTTGCTTACTGGTTTTTCATAAACTTTTCGCCCAAGCAAAATCTTCCACTGTGGGATAACAACACGCAGAATGGCGGCAAATGAACATAATTCGTGTTAGGAAATCTACATAATATTTACTGTGATGCCAACACCCACCCATCCGACCATCCAACCATCCAACCCACTCACATCCTGGGCGGTGCACAGGCCATGGCCATGCATGCAAGTCTGTGGAGATGCTGATGAGCAGATAAATTCATTAGGCAAACCCATGTAATTGTTCCACCAGGGCGACGACGATGCCGGGTCAAAAGCAGAGTGGGGGCCGTAAGGATGCGGCGGACATTTGGCTCAGCTGGCGGAGCAGGCGGCAAAGGCAAACCAGACGACCGCAGATCTTAAGTTTTCCCCCGGAGGCTGGAGTTGGGAGTCACGTAGTCGGAGTTGCCTGGCGAAGCGTTACTAAATACAAATTAAACAAATCCATAAATAATGTTTAATAATATTAACAAGGATATTAGCAGGGACTACACACATACACTCACCCACTTGGGAGCTACAGATGCGCTCACTTACTGCATCCATTCGTAGTTGTAGCCGTCGTAAGACCCCAGACTCCAACTGCATTCCATGGGACGTGGTCGTCGTGGTTTATGGACATGTCGCCTCTGCCACCTGGTTGTTTGCCTGCTCAGGAAACAGGTACACGGGTGTTTACACGGCTGGAATTTATCAATCCCATTCAGCTTATGGGCCTTTGCAGCCTCTGCTTTTGATTAGACTAAAGTGTGATTTGATAGAGAAACATTTCCTATATCTATGGAATATTCGGATACCTTTTAAGTTATCTGCCGACTTTTTACTAAAACTAAGTTATGTTTAACATTAAAGGAATATGTTTTATTAGCTGAATAATGGAATCAAATACAAATATTATACTTTAGCAGTTTTCAAACGCCTTTTTTTCTTCTTGGCGATTTGCTCCTCCACGTGCAAAAGTTGCATTAGTAAATATTTCTGTCGGGACATTTTCTTTTTGGTACTGTAAGAAGTATCCATTGCGCTGCGAGGTTTTTTTGGTGCATTGGGCATAACTTTTAGAGGATTTCTTGCTGGAGTTTTCGTCGATGATTTTGAAGGAGTTTGTGTGTGCGATTGTTTTCGAGTTTTAGACTTTGAAGTCTTTGTTCGCCGTTTTTCTGCATATTTCGATGAAGATGCTTTTTCATTTTTTGATGTATATTTTTCCTGTGATCCCGATGATGATGTGCTTGTTTTCCAAGCCCGCTTAGAGCTCGCTTCCCTGGCATCAGATTCAGAGGAAGAAGAGAAGTCATCGGAGCTTTCGGTGGTGGATTCATAGCTAGTCGACTCGGAGGACTCACTAGAATTGTCGTCGTTGTTGCTGAGACATTTCTGTTTTGGTTCAGGGCGTACCATGATATTGACACGCCTTGGTGGGCTGCATGATGGAGTTCGAGGCCCTCGACTTTTGTTGACAAAGGTCCTTGGAGGACTTGGACAACGGGCACGTTTGATCGCTTGTCTGGACATCGCGGAGGACGTTGATGTTGGCCGCGAATTCGATCGTATATGTTTGGACAATCGACTTGGTGAGACGTTAGGACTAGGAGAAGGTGAGCTGCTGCTCAGTCGTTTCTCCCACATTATCGGTTTGTGTTTTGGGGGTATCGGCGGCTGGCGGACTGTCTGGTTTTGATACTTCTTTTGCGCCGTCAATAGTTCATCGAATGTCGGCGTCGGCAGAAGAGGAACACGCTCCTGGCCGTTCTGTGAGTAGTAGGGGTCGTTGTCCAAGACGTTGAATCTCGTTTTTGTCGCGCTTCCAAGCCGCCATGTTATTTTCTCGGCTTGTGACGTTTGGAAGGTATCAACACATGGAGCGGTAAAAGGTGTCCATCCTATAAATGTTTTTTAAAAAACATTACTATTTTATAAATATTTTAGATTTAAATAAAATGTACTATCATGAAATTAATCGTTAAAAACTAAGTAGCCTCTTTGTTGTTTTTAAACTTACCTGGTGGAGTTGGTGGGGGTCCTGGCAGCACCTTTTTTTCAAACATCTCATAATTGCCCTTGTTGCCCATTTTCGGATGACGAAATCGACAGTTGCTGCCCCAACGGCACGCGTTGCGGATGTGAAAACGACAGATTGGCATAACGCTGTTCTCTTCCTTGGGCTCTTCAATTGGTACATTATCATTATCTTCGCCGAATACCTCGCCATCTTCCATATCAGCAGACCCAAAACGATCAGGTCCCGACTTTATTAGCTTGCTCACTTCGTTTTCAGCCAATGTATCTCTCCCTATAGCCTGACCAGCTAACATTTCGGTGGGTAAACCATTTGGGGCATCATTTTCTTCGTCGGATACTTCACCATCTTCCACATCTGATTTCCTGTGATTAGGCTGTTCTTGGTGCTCCTCCGAAGTGGTATCTTTAGATAACTCACCCGGTTCAAATGCATCAGTTATCGTTCCTTCGCCAACGGTTTTCTTAATGTCTTCAGCATTGTTTTTTGGACTTTGCATGATTTTAGGTTCACAGATTGAATTGTCTTTGCCATCAGTGACAGCTTTCACTTCTAAGGCCTCTCCGACAGATCGAAACTGGTCTTGCTGCATTTCTAAAGTGGTATTTTCGGATAGTTCACCAGACTCCAAACTATTGTTTTTTATTAATACATTATTGTCTTTCTCCTTATCAACAGTTTCACCAAATTCTTCAAAATTATTTCCAAAATTTCCCGATATTTTAATATCTTTTAAATATGTGGCATTAGCTTTATGTTGAAGAACACTTCTCTGAGATTGTGAAGGAATATTTTCGGAAAACTCTGTGACTTCCAGTAAGTACTCCAACAATGTATCGTTACACTTTCTCTTATCAGCGATTTGCTTAAATTCCTCAGGGTTGTCTTTTGGATTTTGCATTATTTTTTGGCCATTATTTACTTCTGGAGAACCTGCGGTTTCCTCATTATTCTGATTGCTTATTCCAGACTCATCTGCTGGAAACGCGGAAATCATTTCCTCTGGATTTCTCATTGTAGAGCAAAAAATGTTATTAAGATCGCCTTCTTCCCCTAGGGTGGTAACTCTATTTTTTAATTGGGAATTTTCGGGACTTTTGATCGATTCTTCATTGAGAAGTGAGTCGGCAGTAACAAAAAATTTTGAGTTGCTTGTAACGATTTTGAAATTTTCATTTTGGTTCCTTAAGTAGGATGTACACCCTGTTAGTTCTGAGTACTCCTCCCTCACGGAACAAATTGTGGATTCTTTTAATAACTAGAAATTAGATATGATTTTTATTAACAATGCAAAGCTTACCAAAATCCGTTAAGCCATGGAGAGTGTAATCAAACGGTTTGTATACAAAACTAGAATGAGATGAAGAAGGACCCGAGACCTCGTTTGGCATGCTTAATGAAAGGTATAGGTCAGTGATGGTTATATAAAGCCGAAAGATAATTTATGTACCTTGTATTGGTTGGTCTTTTAGATAAGTCACGGCAGGAGGAATCATCTGAAACTAGGAAGTTATGTTTTAATCAAACATCAAGTCAGAAGATCTGGCTTCTTATTGGGTTTCTAAATGATTCCGTACCATAAATACTTTTATTAGCTTCTTCCTTGGATGTTGAAAAGTTGTTGGTCAAGTTGGTTGTAATATTTGTTGATTCCTTTAGCTCAACTTTCATGGAGGTAAATAAGTATGGTTAATAAATATGAATTCAACTATAAATATCTTACCCATATCGGTAGATCCGTTTTCTTCATCCATTTGCGAGTTCTCAAGGTCACGGCTCAAATACTTGGATATTGCGTTGGGTGGCAGTGGAACCAACTTGTCATTTTCGCCAGAATTGGACATCTTACAAAATGTACTACTACAATAAGCGTGAGGTGCTTTTCAAGAAAATTACATGCCTCTCAATTGTTTTTGTTATTCCTGACATTAAATACACTGATAATATGAACAGTACTTATCAGCTTTGATTCTAGCACACTAAATTTAACAATAAACCATGCAGAACGTATTTTATTCGCATAAAACTACGGCAAAGAAGCGTCACATTTCTATTTTTCTATCGAAGCTCTATATCGCTGCCAGAGTTGCCATACTAACAAAAAGACGCCGAAAATATCGGTAGTACGGTCAGACTGAATATAATCTAGTGTTGGAAAGTACCAGGTTACGTAGAACGTAGGAAACTGTAGTAGATACTATCGGCAAATATTTATTTTAATTTTAAAAACTTTTTTAATAAGCTGTTTTGAGAAACTGTATATGTTTTTAAAATAAATTGGAAAGTATAATAGAAATGTAACCAGAGAAAACCTGAGAAAAAGTCGGTTCCAAAATCAACGTCATCTCTAGGGTAATAGTACAAAATCAAATATTTTTCAACTTAAGGAAATAATATAAATACACCTTTGTATATTCAAATGAGTATTGAAATGCACGTTGGCCGGGATACAAATTAGACACAGACACAATTCCCCCAGCCCCTGGGTCAAACGCTTGGAGCAACAGCATCAATTTCCACAAAATTGCGCCACTAAATTACCATAACGGTTGGGCAACCTGCACCCTGCCCCAAGAAAAGCAGCCCAACCCACCTTGAAAAACCCCCCAAAACTAACGGAAACATATTAGGGCAACTGGAGAATCCAAACAAAAGTGCGACAAGTGAGAGACGAGAAGCAGACGAGTCGAGAGACAAATGCCGAAACCGCAAACAAAGAAAACAGCGCGAAAAACGCAAACATCAGCGCAATGCGGCAATGGAGTTACCTGGTAGCAGGTAAGTGTGTGTGGGGGGGGGGATCCCAACTGGGCGGGGGTTTTCCCACAGGACTTGTAAATAGCAACATGGCAAACAAGTTAAAAAGTTTTCCTCTTGTTCTTTGGCATTTCTTTATGCCCGGGTCGCGACCCAAACATAATCGTTTCTCATTTCAATGCTGGCGGAGAAGAAGGTGTCCCCCAGATGCCACTCCCATACGCCCCAAAATACACTGTTAGAAATTATAGTAAAGCCAAGTATTATACCCACGAAAACGCTGTCCCCAAAAATATTACTATTTACAGAAAAATATTATTCTTTATGGTCTACAGTGAATATTGTTCTGTTCATTTCAATGTTATATAAGGTAGGTACAATTTCTTAAAATGGAATGATGGTAGTGTAAGTTAATTACCGAAACTTGTTTCAGTAATTTTCTCTTAATTAGTTAACCCTCTGGGTTATAAAGAATTAATCATTTAAAAAAAAATTTTTTTCGCATGAACACTTGTTAAATAAATAACTTCTAAACTTATTCGAGTTTTTAAATTTAAAAGAGATTAAGTATTTGTCTAAGTGCATTCATTGCCTTCTGGTTACCTTCACTCACCTTTTCTTCGGCCCCGGTCCGCAATTTAGTTTTGAGCGTAATTTCTTTTAATAGCGCCAGCCGACAGATAAAATTCCGCTGAAGTAGAGTCCCGAACCCCACGAAGATGTCCCGTCCTGACACTGACATTGTAGTCTTCTCGCGCCCAGTTCTCAGATCCCCGTACCACCACTCATCCCACATCCAACTCCATCGCGGGTCAAAGGGGCCGCCTCTTTGCTGGCGGATATCGCAAGTAAATTGCTTAATTTTGGCCATGTCTCGAGGTCTGGGGTTAGGCGTCTCTTCGGTTTGTTTTATTGGAGCTAAGGACTCTTGGGAGGAGGGGAAAGGACGTTACAAGGGGCCTCCCCTAAGGCCGCTCAGGTTGACGTTTTCTGGGCCATGACGATTTCATTTGCATTTTATGATAATTGAACTTCATAAATATGTCACGACAGCATCTTAAAAGTGCCAGAGGTAAGCACACACTCACACAGAGCGAAACAAAACATCCGGTTCCTTTTCCGGTACACAGTACTTATCCCATTTTGGGTGCCATGTGCTTCATAATTATTTTGAAGTGTCGCCATTAATTTGAAATACTTATGGTCGTGTGGGGCCGGACTATAAACTGCTGAACAAAATTGGATAACGACGGTTGCAATTTAAATATGTTAAATACATTTAATATACAGGGTACGGAAAGGATCGTTAAGATGTGGATACTTAGAGGAGGTGATTATGTGGGTATTAGTAGGTTGGAATGTGTTGAGGTAGAGGAGATAGTCGGAAGGTAAAAAAACTTAATTTTGAAATATTTAACCAGCATTAAAGGATATTCAGTATCATTGTAGGTAAATATTACTGTGGTTTTTTGATCATTTTCTCAAAATCTACCATATGAGTTTAAAGATTCGTTTAAAAAAATAGCTTTGATCTAACAAAAATACTCCTAATTAAGTGTTATTTTAAATGTACTCAACTAGAACACACCCCATATCTATTTTACCTACTACTACTATTTGTGAATTTCCGTCAAGATGTCTTACCCCACCGAAAACCAACTTCCCTGCTGAGATTCCAGCACAATAACTCACCTAGTCAGCAACTTAACTTATTCACCCTTTCAGAGCTCGAAGAAAAAATGAACATTTAACGCCTCATTAGAATCAGGACATCGAGCATCCATCTCCGGGATGGGACTACAAGGCCACATCCACTACACAACTACACAGCCGAACAACAGGACGGAGGCAATGAATAAACTCCGGCATAAACAGGATATATGGCCGCAAAATCCCAGCAGCGCCTTGCAACGGCGGCAATGAATATTAATGAGATGTCATCAGTCTTTCGTCAAATTAAAACGCACAGCGCCAGCGGGCCAGAACGGTGAGCTGGGATAGGATATACTTGGAGATGGAGACCTGGAGTCCCTGACAGGAGCCGGCACATCTTCACCCTGGTGTTGTGCTCGCACATCCTGCGGTTGCTTTTCTAATTGTTGCCAGCACAACGCGAATAAATCAGCGGCTACAACTAGCTGAAGGCCTCAAGGAATTTTGGCAATTTGTTTTCCACTAGTTGAGTTGAGGATTTCGAAAAGGGGTGGATTTAGATGGGATGGGATATGATGAGATAGGTAGGTAGGTAGGCTAGGTAAGTAACCCTTTTGGGCAATAAGTCGTCGGCAGTCACCGTCATCGTCATCGTCACACGTCAGCGCACTATCATCAGCTTGTTTACACGCATAATTATGTGTGCCGGGGATTCCGGGAAGTGCTACTGGCTCCTGGTATACCCACTTCCATGCCCACACCCACTTCCTACCCCCAACTCCCCATCCTGTTATCCTTGCGGCTTTTGGGGGCTGCCACGGCAGACGATTTAATGCCTCGTGACAGATTTCTCACTTGAACTTAAGATGACGGGCAGCGTCACAATTTGATGCTGATAATATGCTAATGAGGTTTGTTTATTTGATTTATAATCCCCTCGTCATGGTTTCAAGGAGAAGGTGTCGAAGCCGCTGGGCAAACGGTGGAGTCAGGTCAGGTCCTCGAGGTTCACTCAAATCACAGTCAAGTGGAAGTTAATCGCCTGTCGGAGGGTTTTTGCATCTCAATTGCATAAATTTGTATGAATTGATAGGGCAAATGATCACTGATGCTTATTGAGTTGGTGGATTGGGAACTACAGCCAGTTGATAGTTGATTAATGGTTCAGGAAAGCCTAATGAACCTTTACTTCCTTTAGAGCTTCCCTTAGAAATAAAATATATTTGTATTTATCTGTGTTGTGATAATGATATTTGCTTCTATTTATTACCACATTGCATTATAATATCAATGATCAGCATTATCTTAGCAGGTCATATGCCTCCATTAAGCTATCTTCCTTAAGATAATCGGGATAATTCGGATCAGAGCACAGGTGACGGCAAACACCACCAGATTGGCACGGACCTCCTCCTTGGAACGGTCCTCGATTCTGGTCGGCTCAATGGACAGAGTGCGAAACATCTTGATTGCAGCTGCACAAAAACTTTTAGCTGTTAATTTACTAAGGAAGAGTATCTTACTTACACCGCTAAGATAATTTGGAACTAATTGAAATTCTGGATAAATAACTTGGGGCACACCAGCCTAGAACGATTTGGGAACAGACTCGGAAACGAAATCAGTTTAATGACAAGCTATACAGAACCTTGACAGATTTATCAAGGAATGACTTGATCCATTTTATTTTTTTTTAAATAAAAATTAATAAATTTATAATTTAAATAATGTTTTTCTCAGGTACTGTAAATACTGATTTTTGATCTGTTTTTTGAATCAATAAATCACCCACTTAGGATCGACACACGCGGAGAAAAAAATGCCATAGTGCTTGTCTTTGGTTTGCCTTTCCATTTTTGTTTTAAATGTTTATTTATATTCTTTTGACTTACATTATTTCTAAAACAACTATACTTTTGTTTTTACAAATTAAGAATAAGTATTTAAATTATTTAAATCGGTTAAGAATTATTCAATTCCTCACTGTTTTCTTTTTGGGTTTTTTACAATTATAGGTTTTGGAGTAGAAATTAATTTTATTTTATGTTTACTACAATGAAATGCTATTCGGCATTTTTGAAGTAACTAACACTTGGAGGACTTCAAAGATAAATCTTTTCTTGGACGCTCAGATATCATGAAAATCAAAATTCTATGAAAAACTAAGATATCTCTTCAACTTTCTTTGTTTTCCATGTGTATTTCGATTTCCAACTACAAATTAGATAGATCTACACCAAAATAGACCCTCAAAGCAGATTCTTTTTGCTGCAATGCCAGTTCAGTTAGCATACTTTCGGGAGCTGGTTTTAGCCCAAAACGAAGTCGCTGGACTGGGCCTAAGTCAAATACCGTGTTGGGCGGCCATTAGTCCGGGCAGATTCCAGTGCACATTATTTCTGGCCACGGCACGTGTTTGAACCGCAAACAGATGAATTTCTGCAGTGCCGAGAGCTCCGCTCCGATGAGGACAACGAATTATGAGCAGGCGGCAGCCACTCAGGGCAGTTTGCGCATTCCAAGTCTCGTTTTTGGGAGGAGGAACAGGACAGGAGCAGCAGCAGGAGCAGGAACTGGAGCCAGAGGAGCACTGCAATTCGTCCTCGGGGTCTTTTTTGTGTTAATAATAAATAAACGGACGGGCCTTGCAGCCGGAGTCGGGAGTCGGGGGTTTGGGTGTGGAAGCCCTGCTTGTGTTTTGGACACACCGGAGCGCATTTTAATGGACGAATGCAGTGGCGGAGTGGAAGTGGACCCAAAACCCATAACCCGTAGTCGCAGCACACCTTTTCCCGGGTGCATGTGTGACACCCAGCCACCTCCCTGCTTTTCCCCTCCTTTCCCGGCTTGAAATACGGCATTTGCTCGTCCATCTTTTGATTTAGCACCGACATAAAAATGATTTATCAGTGACATTAAAATAATGCACACTGTGGCGCATTTTATGTGCGAATGGATTTTCGCGCCTTTTTGTTCTCGTTTTGGTAAGGGTGATGGTGACGGCGATGGTGAGGTGTTGGGTGGTACAGAGTCGGTGCAGTCGCATTTACCCCCTCCAGAGGAAGAGACCCGAACCGAACCGAGGTGCAACCCCATGAGGGTATTTCGTATACGTATACGATGGGTTCTCCCAAACAGCTGTCCGTCCACTGGTCTGCATCAGACTTTGTGTGCCGCCGTCAGCCGAATGTTTTACGGCCGAGGTGTTTGTGACTGAGTCTCCGCCAGCTGCATCAGTGCCCTATACATAGGGATCTGGTATGGGGTTTGGGTTCGGTGGCTCCATGCACCTATCCGGACCTAGAATTGCCTCGGGCTGCTGGAGCATCATAAATGTAAACTTTTATGCGATTATCGCGCTCTCTTTCTGGCTGCCACACGATTTCGAGGACGCTGCGCTATGTGCACGGTGCACTGAGAAAAAGTCGAGTTGATAAGTAGAGGAAAATTTAAAAAGATTACAAGGGTATTTTAAATGTTGATAATGTGAAATTGTAGTTACGAACTTAATAAATTTAATATTTCGCCCTTTAGAAGGAGATTTGTAATCACCAATAATTTCAAAATTCCCTATCCAACATTTTTAATTGCTAATCTACTTAATCTTTAAAAATTGTTTTTAGAAAAAATGTTGCTAAAGAAAATAAGAAGGCGATCAACTCACGCTGTTTGTATTGTACTTCACAATCGATGGATCACTGCACAAACAGAACCAGTTGGGAATTATAGCGTCGCAGAAGGAATAAGCTTTAAAAACGAAAAGAAAATTTGTTTTTTTTTTAGCTACTAAAAGGAAATGAGCTTGTTTATGGAAAAGCTTTGGTTTAAAAATTGTTAATTATAAAAAAGTATTTAAAATGTATATATTATACAAATAATCTTTACCTAATATTCTACTCTGAATATATAGAATTCTTCTCGCAATTTTCCTCCGTGCACTTGGTGCTGTTTGAAATGTGCCATAATTTGCACCCAGATGTGTGACACAGCACTGCGAGAGCGACGAGCGGGCACAAGCTGGGAGGGTCATGGTCCCCAATGCTGGTTACTGGTGGCTGGTGGGCCGGCTATCAACTGGAACGCGGCTAGGATGTGCCTGCCACCGAAATGGACGACAGCATATGCCCCCGTGCGGGGTCTGGAACTCATTAGAGTGGGTTCTCTGTGTGTGCGAGTTTAATGAGGACACCGCTGGAGCGAGGAGCTGGCGCAGGCGCTGCACGGGTATGGGAGTAGATAGAGGCGCTAAAGATGGGACAGATAGGAGGGGACGTGGATGTGGACGTGGATATGGATGTGGATGTGGACATGGGCATGCACATCTGCAGACGTCGCTGATTGCCCGGGTCCAATCTCAGTGGCCGTGCGATTCCCATGCCTGGCCCATTCCGTGGCCAGTTGGCAGCGTCAGCATAATTTCCTGATGCTAAATGCCAAACGCAGGACGAGCAGGACGACCAGGACGAACCAGAGCGGGCTAGCCGAGCACTTAAGCCCATCCGCCATCGACTGACCGACTGCCAGCGCACGAGTTTGCAAAATGGGATTGGGTTTTGGATTGGTTTGGGTTGGGCTTGGGTTCGGGTCGGGCCAGAAGCAGCCCGAATGGGAACGGCCCAGAAGGACGAGAGGATGGCTAGATGGCAGGATGGCCGGGCAGAGTGATATCCTGGCGTAGTTGTAGTGGTGGCTCTGTGTCATTGTCTCGCGTGGGGACAGCAGCGGGGTGGAGGGACGGCAGGACAGCAGGGCAGCTGGGGAGGAGCATCAGGAGCATCAGGAGCAGGACCAGCATCAGCATCAGGGCAATTTAGAGGAGCACACACACCGACACACCTGTTTTTGGGTAATTTATCTCGAAGAATTATTATTTCAAATATTTTGAGGGGCTGAGGTGCACTGAAAAAAGTTAACTTAAAATTAATATGTAAGAAAATTATTTTAAATATTTCCAAGGTATTCCAAAAAATTTTAATTTTAAAAAGAGTTTAAAAATTAATATAACATATTACACAAAATTTAATCAGTGGTAATATTTTTAATAATTAAATGTTTCTAACAAATATATTTTGTTAGTAACTATATAATTTTTTTAAGAAATTATTTAATTTACAAGAAAAATAATCGTGTTTTCCTTTTTATATGTTATACAGGAACACTAAAAATACAACAATTTTAATTTACTATTTTAATATTTTAACTTTTTTTTAAACCTCTTATTTTATTACAAAAGAGTCATGATCACTTCAATATACAGAATTCGCCTAATTTTAAGTAAGACTGTCCACTTTTAATGAAAATATTTCCAGTTCCTAAAAAGTATTATAATAAAAGTACAATTTTTTAAGATAAAAAAAACCATGATTCGTACCCAATTTTTTCAGTGTAAAATAAGCAGAGAGAGATGGAAGCCATGGCACACAGGGACAGGGCGACGCACCGAAATAAAAGGATTTTAAAATGGTCATTTGATATGAATTATGCGCGTTGGTGCAATTACAGAATCCCGCCCGCCACCTCCACGTCCACCGAGCAGACTCCATCCTGAACCCGTACCCTGGACCACCTCATCTGGGGGATTCCCCTCCTGCTCCCCTGGACGGTCGGTGATGCCTTTGTCTGACTGTGATGCGGTTGTCTCGGCGCTTAGAAGAGGCGGATCCGGCTGCTGTTCAACTGTTCAACTGTTCAGCTGCTCGGCTTGTTTACGGCTGGGCCAGTCGGCTGGTGGTCCTGTTCCTGCTCCTGGTCCTGGTCCCCGCCCACTTTCCGACCTCTTTCGCCGCCCGCGACTTGGACTTCATCGTTAAATAATTAAATCAGCTGCTAGACTAATATATTTCTCTTAATTGCGAGTAACTCATGGTTAGCGCGTACGCAAAGTGTCCGGGCCATTTGGCCCCCATTTCTGATTTATGCGCCATATAAATAGCCGGGCACCAATAGCTAATATCGCTGATGGCCTGCATATGCAGGGCGTAATGGATTGTCGGGCTACATAAATGGCCAAATGGGGTGGGAACTCCCAAAAATGAGTTTAACTTATATTTGCCCCAACCAAAACCGTAAAGAAACATCAATTTATGACGAAAAAAGGTTTAATTAAGACATATCAGTATGAATAATTAGTAGAATTAAGGCAATCCTGTAGTTAGTGAGGAAATAATATACTACTTTTAACCGAATTCCTCAGTCCTCAGAAGAAAAGGTTCCTAAAACAATAAAAACCAAAATCATATTTCATTAAAATTCGAAATAGTAAATTTTGTAGTTACAACTATATTTAAAAGATATAAAAAGAAAAAGGTTTTGTTAACATACATCCCATTCAATTATTTTTAGAATTAATATGATCTTATAATTAATGATATTATACTCTCAATATTTTACCATTCTTAACCGTATTCCGGTCCTCAGAAGAAAAGTTTGTAAAGCAATAAAAACCAAAATCATTTTTTTCATTGAATTTGTAGTTATTATTATATTTGGAAGATAAAATACAAAAATTTATAAAAACAGAATAGTAAATCATTGCTTTTAATCGCTTCGTTTGTTTTGGTACAATTCAGCAAACCTCGAGCAGCTTTTCTGCTCCATTGAACTCTCTTTCAATTGTCTTCAAATTCAGACATCCAGAA